TTGACTCCCATTCCCACTTGTGAGGATTTATTCTGTGGAGAAACTTGCACATCTGTACCAAGATTGAGGTATGGGGATAGTAAATGCAGCAGGCATTGGGTAGCCTGAACTGGGAACAACCTAAATATGCATAATTAGAATTCTTACTTGTGATGTATTTGCATGATGGTGCATTGTGTAGCCTTTTATAAGAAAAGAGGCGACCGTATATATATTGATTAAGAATTATTTCTGATTTGGATACTTAGTGAAAAAAGGCTAGATACAGAATTTGTATGGATTCCATTTAAGTGTTTTCCTGTGTGGGTGGGCAAAAGGAACATTCTCGTTCTCTCTCTCTCTCTCTCTCCCTGTCTTAGTCATTCAAATGTGCATGCACTCATGCGCGCGCGCACACACACACACACACACACACACACACACACGTCTTAGGATGTGGAAGATCTATTTCAAAGGTAACTTCTGGGGACTGGGGAGGGATCCCAAATTTTCACTGCATGCTTTTTTTGAACTATTTGAAGTTTGGTTATAGAATACTCCCATTTTTGTTTTCAAAATTTAAAAATAAAATGCCTAGACTGGTATGAGGTTCCCTCATGTCCTAAGAGCATTGGACTGGATGGACCAGTTATATCAAAGGCTGTGCTACCTAATTGAGTTTCTGGATCTCAGTTTTCTTCCTTTGAAAACAAGTTCCTCTGACTAAAGTAAAGGGTCTCTCTGTTCCCTTGCCATCACTGAAACCCAGTGCTTCCATGGCCCCATGTACCTCCTGCATTTTAAGCTTTACTTTGAGATTTTACAGTTGATTTGACTTGCTTTTGTTTTGTTTATTCGACTCCTGACTATTCAGGAGATTCTTTTAAAGCCAGACATTTCTATTAAAGGTATGATGAGTTCTGTGGCCAGTATGATTTGTTCCAGGTTGCAGTAGTATAATTCAGAAAGTACTTTTCTATTTGTTTTAATAGTATGGTCTGTGCCAAGTCAACAATAATTGTCATAATCAAAGATTATATGATATACAGAGTCTGTTTTGAGATTGATAAAACACTAGTATATTAAATATACATTGGTTCTTACACAAATACACCCCTAATTCAAAAACGTTAGAGAGAATGAGTGACTGGGTGTGTATTTTGGCAAAGGGGATGGTGTCAGAATTAAGGAAAAGCTTTGAGAACATTCTGTGGCACCATCAATATTAGACTGAAGCGATTGGAATGTAAATACAGGTTATTAAAACTACGGCTTTGAGGGTATTGCCATGAGAACAAACCTCATAGCTGCTTTTTTTTTTCAGTGTAGTACCCATAAATTCCCCCTAATGCTTATGTGGTCATGTTAAGTATTTCTTGTTGTTGTTATTGTAAAGGGCCACAAATTGACATCTTAAGTGCATAGCCATTTAAGAAACTCTAACCACATGCTCATTTCTTTTTCCTTTCTTTTTCTTCTTCTTTCTTTTCTTTTTCTTTTTTCCTTTTCCTTTTTCACGGTAGATGGAACTTTTATTAACCTAATAAACAGCACCTACCAAAAATCTGCAGCAGACATACTCGATGGCTAATGTTGAAGCTTTTCTTCTGGGGTCGGGAAGGATGAAAGGATTCCCATTATTATTATTTCTACTTCTTCTGGTTCTCCTCCCCCTCCTCCTCCCCCCTC